TCATACTCCTAACACTATACCAATGCTCATATGTTTAACTATTACTACCGCATTTGTTCATATTCCGACTTCTACTGCTACGACTACGGTTATGACTACTACTATTTCTACCACTACGACGGCTCCTACGAATGCCAGGACACCAATTATTACTACGAGAACACCCACTAAGGATACGAATGGCTTCTGGCTGCGTCTACCACTGTTAATAGTAACGTTTACTACTAGTTATTACACATATGTTATGAATACTAGTAATATTACTTCTAGCCATACGACGACTACTACACGTACCACTGATACTACTACGACTACTTTTACCACGGCTACGACATAACCCCTTCACCAGTCAATTCGTTTGATTGCTATTACACAAGGAAATCTATTTGCAGTAGTATAATTTACGTTGGGATTTACAACTTCCCTAATGATCGTACAAGTACTCTTACCAGCAACTACTTAACGATGCAAGCAAGTAATTCATTCTACATCTGTTACTCTTAATAACGCCACTAAGTGGACTATCGCTCACTACCTAACTGTCCCAGGAGCTGCCTACACACGTATAGTCACATACATAAGGTAACCACGTTGCGATATAACTACCGAGCAGCCCACACATAGCATCCACTGGCTAACCAACCAACTGTCAAGCAACTGCCTTACGAATAAGCAACCATATAACTAAGTATCCGACTACATGGCTAAGCAACTCCCTAACGAGATAACTAAGTAACCAAATAACTCAATAACCGATTATCTAACGTCATGCCTACCCAACTAGCAAGTAACCGACCACCTAACTAAGAAGTCACCGGCTACGTAACTCTCCAACTAAGTAGCTCTCATAACCGACTACCTAACTACTGAACTACCTAACTACACAACTGAGTAACATACTAATGAAGTAACTACCTTAGTAAGTAACCGATCGCATTAACTAACTCACAACTAGATAGGCGGGGGCGACCTGTGCGCCGTTAGCTCCGCGAGCGGGCGGATCACGCCCATGAGGTCACGTGTGTTCCTCCCCGCGCGAGTCGTCGTCGTCGTCGCTGTCGTCGTCATCCTCTTCATCATCTTCATCGTCCTCCTCCTCCTCCCCCTCCTCCTGTTATCACTCATCATACTGCCCGTCCCACCCCGCCGTGATTTAAGCCAAGATAGAATTGCGCTGTAGAGCTCGGACACGCTGATGTCCTGGTCTGGACGTGCCCGCACGCTGCGCGGCGTCGCTGCCATCGCGGTGGGACGGGTGAGGGGATGGAGCGGGGCGTGCCCAGTGCAATTTTGCGGCGGAGTACGGGGCGAGGGAGGAGGATGCGGAGGATGATGAGGAGGAGGAGGAGGAGGAGGAGGACGAGGAGGGGGACCCGAGTAAACCGTATACAACGACGGCGACGGCGACGGCCACGGCCACGGCGACGGCGACGACGACGACGACGACGACGACGACGGCGACGGCGACGACGACGACGACGACGACGACGACGACGGACGCCGCAAAGGTGCACATGGACATGCCCGCGCCACCCTGGGACCCCTAAGTAGCTAGAGCCCCTTAGCCAAAATGGCGCCTACCGCTACCTCATCCTCCGCCTGCTCGTCATCCTCCTAGACCCCGCGACCAACACCCTATTCATTACAACCGCTACCAGCATCATTAAGATAAGCATCGGCATCATAACCGTCGTCATCAGCAACATCATCATCATGGCCACCATCATCATCATCAGCATCATCATCGTCGTCTTCGTCGTCGTCGTCACCACCGTGCACATACTCACCGCCAGCATCATCAACCGAGACACCATCGTCATCATCATCCTCATTCCCACCATCCTCCTCATGATTACCCTCATCGTCCTCGTCCTTCGCATCCCCATCCTTCCCCTCCTCATCCTTTTCCTCGTCGTCCTCATCGTCCCCATCCAGGCGAAGTGGGGGGGTGGCAAAGGATAGGGGAGAGAGCAATGGACGAGGCAAGCTGAATAAGGAGGGAGGGGAGTGGGGAGATAGGCAAGCGAATGTTCGCTTGCACCACATCTGACGCCAACCCCCCTGCCTGCGAGCACCACAATGGTTCTGTTATGTAGATCACCAAAGTTGTCCTTTTTAGTGGGCTGGTATAAGCTGAGCATATGAATATACAACACAACTGCAACACAACTGCAACAACACCGCAACTGATCTGCTGCAACACGGCAACACATATGTTGTAGTTGTGCTGCAGAGTACATAAAATCTGCAACGAAACTGCAACGCAACTACAACTAAACTACAACAAAACTGCAACAAAACTACAACAAAACTGCAACGCATGTGTTGCAGTTTTGTTGTAGATTTACAAAACTGCAGCAAAACCGCAACAAAACTGCAACAAAACTGCAACACACATGTTGCAGTTTTGTTGCAGTTTTTAAAAAACTGCAACAAAACTGCAACAAAACTGCAACACACACAACCTAAACATCGAAATTCATATGTGCAAAATCAACGAAAAAATTATCGAAAATGTTAAGTTTTTTCGCTGCAAATGATAACTTTTCTTTGCGCCAACGTTAACTTTCCAAAGCTGTTAAAACAAAAAGTTAACAACTTTTTGAAAAGTTATTAACTTTCCGGAAAGTTGATAACTTTTTATAAAGTTAACAAAGATAAAAAAGATAACTTGACTGATCTATAGGGCAGGGACCGCCCAAATGGTTGGGCGCCCAAGTTATCCGGGATAACTCGGGTCCGGGGTAACTCGGGTTTGGACTCCCGAAAAAGGAACCCGAGTTAGCCCTGACCCGAGTTACCCCTGGTGATTCGGGGCTCTGGACGCCCGAGTTATCCGGGGTAACTCGGGTCCAGGGTAACTCGGGTTCAGATTCCCGAAAAAACAAACCCGAGTTATCCCTGACCCGAGTTACCCCTGATGATTCGGGGCTCTGAAATGGGGCCTCTCGCAAAAGTAGAGGCCTCCTAGACGAGGCCCGAGTAGATGGGGTCGAGGGATCGCGCCGTGTCGCCAACGCATCGCCGATGCATCGGAGACGTCGGCGATGCATCGGCGACGTCGGCGTGGGGAAACACGGGCTCCGCATCGAGCCGCATCGGCGATGCATCGGCGATGCGGCGCAATCCTCCGACCCCACCTACTCGAACCCCATCCATCGGGGATGGGCAGGACTCCCTTTAGTGAAACGTGGCTCAGTGAAAACGACCTCGGGCCCAAACCTGGCGGGCGCAAGCCCGGAAAATGACGCCCGCGGCGCCCTCTCGAGAACCGAAAACGGACAATTCACTTACTCCAGATTTCGTAATAACAGGGAGGGGGTCTGGACCCTCCAAGACAAGCCATTTCAGACCTCCCCCGTGGGAGAACCCTCCAAAACATCGTCCCCAGACCCCCCCCCCGGGCCCTCCAAGATAGCCTCGAAGGGACCCCCCCCCCGAAACGAGACCCCCCTCCCTTTATATTACGAAATCTGGAGTATCAAAGTGTCAGGCTGGGGCCCTCCCGAGGCCCCCTCTGAGAGGCCCTCTGCGAGTGGGGCCCGAGTCAGCGCCCCTCAAACGGGGACTCCACTAACGGGTACTTTGGCCAGTGACCCAGCGAACCCAGCCCTTCCCGATATGGGCAAAGCTGCAATCAATGCAAGAAAGAGGCCCTAAAGTGGCAACTTCCGGCAAACATTCAAAGTACCCGTTAGTAAGTACCCGTTACGGTGCCGTTGACCGAGGGCCCCAACGCCTCGGCCGGCCTCGGCGCCACCGGGCCCGGGAGCGGGCTCCGCGGCGCCCCGGCGACGCGCCGGCGCGGCCCTCCGACCCTCGAGCAGGGCGGCGACGAGAGGAGGACGAGAGGCTCCCTCTCTCGGGGGCGGCCAAGGCGCGGGTGCTGACAGGCGTGAACCCTTCCCAAGGTACCGGCAGCGTTTCCAGGGAGGCCGAGATGAGCGATCAGCGGCGAAAAAGGGGCACAGCGACTTCGCGCCGCGGCTTACGCGGGCCTCCAGTGCGGCACGAGACGTGGGAAATCGGGGGGCTGTCGCACCGTCATACGCAGGCGGCTTGCGCGCGAATGTCCGCGCCGTCGGACTCGCCATTCTCGGGAGCGGCCAAGAGGGGGGTGTCCAAGAGGGGGGGGTGCAAATCATGACCGGCGGCATGTGCGCGGCCCAGCGGGGGGGCCAGGGACGTCATGAAAGAAGAAGAGGCGCCACGAAACCTGGGGAGATATCATGGCCCCGCCATGATATCCACCGCCCCTAGTCACCACCACCCTCTTTTCCGCCCCCGATCCTCTCGGCCAGTGGGACGCAAGGGCGACCCCGGGCACGGTGGGTTCGCGTCGTGTCGGCCAGCGGCGACCCCGCCGCCAGCGTTCAACCCTGAACACCGCCAGCGACTCGGAATAGGTCGGTGTTGAACGACCGGACGTTTCGGGAACGGCCGATCGCTCAATGTTGAACGATCCCCGTTGAGTCAGAAACCATTGCTGGGGTCGTCACGACAAGAACCTGCCGTACAGTGGAGACCCATGCCAAGAAACACCCTGCGTGCCTCCAGGGTGCCCTGGGTTTCTTGGGATTCGATGGTTTTGCTATGGAAAGCGTGACGCTCCCACACCAAAAACCAACGGACGTCGTGGGGTCCCAGGGTTGGGTTCCCTGTGGCAGGTTTGGACGGGCCCCTACTGTAAGAGTGACCCTTGGTGCGTGGCTTTCTGTGGGGGGCTCGAGGGAGGCCAAGCCCGTGCGCGCAGGCCGCTGCTGTCGCATCGCGCTCAGCGATCGAGGGGGGCACCGATGAGGCCGCACCAAAGGTCAATTATTGCGAAGAGGGTCGCTCTTACGTGTAGTCGAGCATCTACGCACAAGAGAACGACGAAGCAGGACGAACCAGGAGGTCGAGAAGAGGACGGCGAAGCAGGACGACGAAGAAGACGACGACTGAGTGTTCCGATGGCAAGCGCAACTGTGCATCCTTCCATTTCCTTCAAAATCTGGGACCACAGCAGGCAGGGGGATCTTCACCTGCTGAATCCCGCTGTCGACTTCTTTGTCCACCTGCGAGAGGGAGAGAGGGAATCAATCTACTTACGGCCGGTCTCTGGCCCCCCTGAAATTTCGTCTAAACTTTCTGTGGCAACTCATGGGAGCCTCCCCTGGCTCTTACGAATCGACGCTCATCGACGCTAAATCGACGCTAATCGACACTGATCGGTGCCAAATAAGCGCTGTCCCATCAATTATCAGACACTAGCGCTTGCTAATGCACCATGGGGACGGAATTGCAAGGCTATCAGTAAAAGAAAAGACGCCAAATGTATAAACTGTTGGCGCTCAGCGCAGACTTCTTGGATCTGCGCTGGGCCCCCCTCCCTGGCGCGCGGGGCGCGCCAGGGGGCGGCGCCGGAGGCGCCGCCTCGGGCGCCCAGCGCAGATCCAAGAAATCCGCGCAGCGCGCCAAAAGTTTCTGCTTGTGGCGTGTTCTCTTCTTCGAGGCAGGCAAGGCTCCCATGATCTACTGCCGAGCAGTCTTGACCAGTGCTACAGTGGAGGCCGGTTCACAAGAAACCTCCACAAGAAACCCAACCCTGAGACCCCAGGGCGTCACGCTTTCCATAGCAAAACCATCGGAACCCAAGAAACCCAGGGCACCCTGGAGGCACGCAGGGTTGGGCGCCCGAGTTATCCGGGGTAACTCGGGTCCGGGGTAACTCGGGCTTGCATTCCCGAAAAAGGAACCCGAGTTAGCCCTGACCCGAGTTACCCCTGATGATTCGGGGCTCTGGACGCCCGAGATCCGGGAAATCGGGTCCGGGGTAACTCGGGTTCGGATTCCCGAAAAAGCGAACCCGAGTTATCCCTGACCCGAGTTACCCCTGATGATTCGGGGCTCTTGGACGCCCGAATTATCCGGGGTAACTCGGGTCCGGGGTAAGTCGGGTTCGGATTCCCGAAAAACGAACCCGAGTTAGCCCTGACCCGAGTTACCCCTGATGAGTCGGGGCTCTGAGCATGGGTCTCCACTTTACGCAAGGCTCCCGATTTGCTACCGAACAGTCTTGACCGGCGCCATCTGCTGCCAGGCAGCCGCGGAGGCCGGCCAGGTGGAGGCCGCCAATGGCCCGCAGACGACGCGGGCTGCGAGCGTGCCGGGATTCGACGGCGACATTTAGCTCGGGCTTGTCCCCCTACAGGCGGACTTCTGGATGAGAAGTGACAAATGCTCAAAACATGCTCACCAATAGCCAAAACGTAATCGAGAAATCGTTCTCATACTATGTTTCAGCGATTCTGAATATTCCTCCTGTAGAGGGACATGCCCGACTTAAGGCGACATCCGAATCCCGAGGGTTGCGTGACGACGGACCCCTAATCAGAGAAGCATGGCTGTCCACGTTCGACATTTAGCGGGCGAAGGGAAATATAACAGATGTGTTTCCGTCTCCGGGGGCGCTACCCCAGGGCGGCTGGAACATTCTTACCTTGACGTGCCACCGTAAGGGTATAAACTTTCCAGCCGCCCTGGGACAAACGCTGGCGACAGCGAAACAAAAATATTATATACAGTTCTTCGCCCGTGAAATGGTCAAGGAAAGAGAACTGTGCACACATACGCCGATGTTTGTTGCCAGGCCCATCGTAAGCCCAGGACCAGTGCATACGCCCGCTTTACCTGGGGCACGAAGACGCATGTACCGATCCTGGGCCCAGGACGGGCCTGGCCAAAATCGGTGCGTGTGCATACAGTGGAGGCTCGACCACAAGAAACCTTCCACAAGGAACCAAACCCTGAGACCCAAGAACGTCCATGGATTTTTGGTGTGGGAGCGTCACGCTTTCCATAGCAAAACCATCGAATCCCAAGAAACCCAGGGCACCCTGGAGGCAAGCATGGTGTTACTTGGAATCGGTCTCCACTGCAGCTCTCTTCGCCCGACATGCCCTGACAGCCCTCCATCGCTAATCGTGAATTATGGGCCACGTCAACATCGCAGAGCGACGGAGGGCGGCTGGGAAGGCATGAGCTGATTTCGCCGGCGCTGGTTTCGCTGGCGCTGGTTTCGCCGACGGCTGGTTTCGCCGGCGCTGGTTTCGCCGGCGCTGGTTTCGCCCCACTGGTTTCGCCGGCGGCTGGTTTCGCCGGCGGCTGGTTTCGCCGGCGCTGGTTTCGCCAGCGGCTGGTTTCGCCGACGCCGTCGCAGCCGTCGGCGTCGGCGTCGCAGCCGTCGTCGTCGTCGTCGTCGTCGTCGTCGTCGTCGCCGGGCGTCGTCGTCGTCGTCGTCGTCGTCGGGCGTCGTCGTCGTCGGGCGTCGGGCGTCGGGCGTCGGACCCTGATGGATGGGTCGGGTCGGGCGGGCGGACCCTAGCGGGCGGGTGGGGTCGGGCAGTTTCGCCGACGGCCGCTGGTTTCGCCGATGGGTTTCGCCGACGGAGCTGGTTTCGCCAGGCGGCGAACCCAGCCAGGCGAAACCAGCCGTCGGCGAAACCAGCGGTCGCCGCTGGGAAGGGGCATGTCACTCCTTGGCAAAAACGCTGCCCCGATTTTGTGGCCGTCGCGATCGCCGCGGCGACCTCCCAAACTGACCTGGCGGCTAGGTTCGGGCCAGGGAACTACGCAAAGACACTACAGTCGGCCCGTATCACAAGGATGCGCGATGAGGATGCAAGGGCCTTGAAAGGCCATTTCGAAGCTTTTCGAGCGGGGCGCGGCCAACGAAAGTGGCCAAGGATGGACCGACGAGGCAAGGATGTAAGGGTACCCTTGGGAAGGGTGCCCATCCTGACCATGCGGGTTGACTGTATGGGCCACTTCTACATCGCAGCGAGGGGGGGGTCTGAGAAGTCGCGGCGGCTGCCGCGGCGACCTCCCAAATTCGACCCGGCGGCTTAGTTCGGGGCAGGAAATCACGAACCGACACTACCCTTAGGTCGGGCATGTCCTCCTACAGGCGAATTTTGGAGGACAAATTTACAATAGTCAAGATTACTCGAACAGAGTCAACAAATACTAGACACATCGAGCCCAGACTATTTTGTAACTATTGTTTAACTTCCCTCCTGTAGAGGGATCTGCCCGACTGAACACTACCCCTACTAACCATCGATTATCTGAATCGATGGGGGGCGGGGGTAGGGTTCGGATTTCGCCTCGTATTCGACATATTCCGAGACCGAACCCCAACGCCCATCGAGTAGCTGCCTGAGTCGATGATCGGCGAAGGCAGGGTCCGGATTCCGCCCTCGAAAGGAGCGGGTGTTACGTCGACGAGACTACAGGGCGCACCGCACGCTCTGTTGCGGCAGAAGGCACAAGGAAAAACCACTCGAGTCTGGCATGATGCCCCTCCTGGAAGGTCTCCGATGGAACGACGCCTTGCTGCGGCAGGAGGCACTGAGAACAGCCGCGCAAACATGGGAGGATGCCCCACCTGGGAGGCCCCCATGGATCGGAAGCGCGCTATCAAGCCCGATTGAGGGGCCCCTTAGCTGGATCAGCCCAGACCGAAATCCGCCGACCCGATTGGCGTTTGTAAGGGGCTTGTCTGTTCGAGTCGTCGTCTCCGTGGTCCCCTGTCCCTGCACCCTCCTCCTCGAGCTTGTCAGCGAACAAAAATTAGCAATTTCGTCATCGAGTCGAAGGGAAGCCTCTTCCCTTTGATCCCTCCCCCGTCGGGGGAGGGTCCCGGGGGGGTAGGGGAGGTCCCAGGGTGGGTGGGGGAATCAGATACGCATTCCCCCCTGGGGTCCCAATGTGGGGGTCCCGGGGATTGAGAAAATACCAAGGCAGGCCAAGAGTGCCCCAAGAGGCACCCGAGCTGGTCCAAGAGGGCCCCCAATCGCCAAACGATCGGTTCAAAGCGCCTTCATGTCATCCAGACTGCCCAGGAGGCATCCAGGACGCCCCAAAAAGTCTACAATAACACTCCCGAGACGGCCCCACGAGGTCACATTCATTGATTTCCTATTTGATTTTTGTTCTAGATTTGGGCGTTCTCGCCGTTTCCACTTCCCGCCGCTGCAAGTCCGAAGGGGCCTCCAAGAGGACCCCAGAACAGCCCAAGAGGATCCGACGCCGCCCAAGTGGGGGTCGGAGGGTCACTACGTGGAGCCGCATGGAGCCGCATCGTCGTTGCACCAGCGATGCGGCGGGATCATCTGACCACACCCACTCGGACCCCATCAGGGAGGTCTGGGGATCCTCCTCTTCCTCCTCCTCCTCTTCCTCCTCCTCCTCTCCCTCCCTCCTCCTCCTCCTCCTCCCCTCCTCCTCCTCCTCCTCCTCCTCCTCCTCCTCCTCCTCCCTCTCCTCCGCCTCCTCCTCCCTCCCTCTTCCTCCTCTCCTCCTCCTCCTCCTCCTCCTCTGCCTCCTTCTCCTCCTCCTCCTACTCCGCCTCCTCCCTCTCCCCTCCCTCTCTCCCTCTCCTCCGCCTCCTCGCCTTCCTCCTCCTCCTCCTCCTCCTCCTCCTCCTCCTCCTCCTCCTCCTCCGCCTCCTCCTCCTCCTCCTCCTCCTCCTCCAGGGCTCGCCTGCGAGCCCGTTCGGCTCCCGAGCCCACTCGGCCGCCGAGCGGGCCCAGGACGACAACGCCCGCTCGGTGGCCGAAAGGAGCCCGCTCCTGCCGCGGCCTCTGCTGCCGGAGCCGAGCCCGCTCCGCGGCCCGCTCGGCGGGCGAGCGGGCTCGGAGCTCGGCCCATTTGGTCGGGGACTCACTGCCAGCGCGGCGCGAGGCCCCGGCACTGGGGCCTTTTCCTCGTGGCGACAAAGGAAGTCCCCTCCCCCTGCTCCTCGTCCTCCTCCTCCTCAAGTCTTTTTCTCCTTCCATGTTCCTCCTGCTCCTCCTTTTCATCCTCCCTCCCCCTCCTCCTCCTCCTCTTCCTCCTCCTCCTCCTCCAGCTCGGCGCCGACGCGTCCTCCCCGCCCCCGCCCACCCCGCGGGCCACTGAGACGAGGGGGGGAGGAGAGGGAGGGATACTGGGAGAAGAGGGGGGAGGGAGGGGGAGGAGGCAGGGGAGGGAGAAGGTGGAGGGGGAAGAGGGAAGGGAGGGAGAAGGTGGTGCAGCTAAGGCTGAGTTGGAGAGGTGAGGGTGCAGCTAAGGCTGAGTTGGAGAGGAGGGGGACGAGGAGGAAGACCCGGGCCCCCCTGTGCTCGTACACGGCGTGCCGAGACTCGACGGCGCGGCACCATGACAAGGCACAGCAACACGCCACACCGTCCCCACGGGCCCCCCGCAACCCGCGGGCGAGGAGTTGGAGGAGAGAAAGAGGAGGAGAGGAGGAGGAGGAGGAGGAGGAGGAGGCGGAGGCCGACAGCACAGGCCTCATCGACGTTGGTCCGCAGAGTGGGAGGAGAAGCAGGAGTCGGAGGAGGCGGAGGCGGGTGAGGTGGCGGAGGTGGACTGCGACGAGGAGGACATGAGTCGAGGCTTTTGAGCAGCTGCTAGCCCTCATTGGGCCTCTGCCGACCTCTCGAGGTGGGGGAGGAGGCTGAGAAGGGGTGGCTGGACGAGGACACCAGAGGTTCAACTACCAGCACACACACACACCCGCACACACACACAGACACACCCGCACACAAACACAGACACACAGACACACAGACACACAGACACACACAGACACACACACACAGACACACACACACACACAGACACACACGAACACACACACACACACGAACACACACACACACGAACACACACACACGCACACGCACACGCAGACACACACACACACACACACACACACACACACACGCACTCACGCACTCACGCACTCACGCATTCACGCACTCACGCAC